ATTTTAGAGCTAATTAATCAGTGTAGTTCAACTAAGTTCATCGAGGTGTGAGTTAGATATCTGATATTAAAGGATGTAGTACCTTCACTCAACTCATCAACAGTTATACCAGGACATTACACTAGTTTATAAAGTTGTCGGTAGTCATTCTCGGTCTGTCTGATAATTTACGTTAATGAAATGTTCAAATTTCTAGGTTTTAGTTCTTCAGTTTCACATTCATAGTGATGTAAATGTACTCAATTTTGTCTTATTACGTAATATCGGTCTGTTTCATGTTTACTTATGACATCCTTCTTCATTTTAATTTCTGTATTTCAAGACTACTGAACCAAGCGCTTTTTCTATTGATGTGAATAGAGAAATAAAGAAGCCCTGACCAATAGCGGAAACTATTTTTGGGAACATTATTTCACTTAATTTTTTACACTATTCCGAATCGGTAATAGATCGATTGATGTTTCAGTTGACTCGTGTTGTTACTCGCGCGAGCTTGTCAACCAGTCAAATGATAGTGTGGTGTGTGCTACTTTTGTCGATATATGTAGTATACGACACCGATCATAAATGAAATACCTGACAGCAGAAGGTTAAGAAGATCGAATCGAAGAGAACGTGAACAGAGTGATTGTTATGGTAATAAAGTTTGAGACAATTGATGGAGGATTTGAAAATGAAGTATTAAACGAATGATTTTCACATTTTACCAAAGAACTCTGTAATTTGTGTTAAAATACACTGGTTGTCTCTATCTGTGTTTCCGTTTATTACGATTGCAAAGTTTACGTCTCTCTGCCTCAAGATTGAACTATTTAACCTATCGTGAAAAGTCCTTAACGTAGATCGAGGAAAGTTCTTTTCTGTATATTGTTTCGGCAGACATATCAAAGACGTAACATCTACTAAATTAAAAAACTTTCCATCACCATGTATTAGCATTCCAAAACCTTAACAGTTTTCCTAAAAAAATAAAGTATTTTGTTTTCTTCATGTCTTGCTACGTATTGGGATTTCACGATGATGTTTTAGTTCACTCACTCGCAAAGGACTTTTGATATCAGAGTTAAAATGAATGAACTTATTCAAAGTATTTATTTACAACACTTGGTCGCATTTCATGTTCCTCTGTAAAATACTGTTGTTTTATCTAAGATCTCATTTTAAAATAGTTTTCACTCATTGAACAAGCATTTGTTTCAAACCAACATATTGTTGTCAATTTTCAGTTTTATCATTCCAAGGGATAATTGTTGAAGGTTGAAATACATCTGTAAACGATACAGACCCTACAAACATTGTTTACTAAAGTAAATTACAAAAACATAAGTAAGTATTTTTATGGCCTAATATGGAATTTTTTTGAAATCGACCCGTAATGTATTGTCGTTATCTCCATATTGAATTGTATGAAGCAGGATAATTTCTATAAATTTACAGTTTACAAATGTATGCGATCTATTTTAGCGTACATAAGTACTTATAACTAGATGTATATTTACACGAACCGGCTGCTATTGCATGTTGTACGTAACATTTATTAATAATTACCGGTACTATTTTACACTGTCATCCGATCAATATTTATAATGATAAAGAACAATTCCAAGATTAAAACCGGATTCAAATCCCTAACTAGCCTGATAATTTGTATCATTTTTCAATCATGAATTGTAATACATATGTGTTTACTAGTTGTTGCCACCTGTTTTAGAGATGGCATTTTTTTAACTTCTAATTATCCTCTCTCTACTTGCTGTCCACACTAAGTATGCTGATGCTGATCGGTTACGACGACTTCCTGCAACTTGACCCTCCTAATGAAAACACAAGAAACAGAACTCAGCTAATTAAGTGCATTTCTTTTATAACTCAAAACTCATTTGTTGGTGCACATCAATTAACAGGACTAAAATGCACAATAAATAATAATAAATCATAATTTCAAAGTGAACGGGTCATTTGGAGTACAAACCGAGTAACTGATCCATAATTAAGTGACTGTGATCTATGGACGATAAAAGATATGTTAAGTCAATGCTAACAAATAAAATAATTTAAAAATACCATAAACAAAATATTCGGTCAACCCATGATAAAAATACACAATAATAGACCACAAAATTACAACTTTTCACTTACTCGTCTTTATCTAACAATACACCTATTAACAAATGATATTATCAGTTTGTTCTCCGTATTTTTGTATGTTGTTGTATAGTGAAATTTCATTTTAAATTCCCAATCGACATTGTAGTCTCTGACGAACGTTTATTTTAATTTCGAGTAAGACACCTCGTTGTTTGAAATTTATGAAGCAATTAGTGGTATTGAATTAAACTGCAATTTTACTCCAGATAAAATTCATTCTCTCCGAAAAACCTAGCTGTATATTTTATCAAATACATGTTCGTGTAGCAAACTGAGATCTGCATAAATTGATAAGAAAAACGCCCTTATATATATATATATATATATATATATATATATACGATTGTTAGTGATGTATCATATCTGTTTTTTTCTCGTGATTCTTTTTTATAGCACCTATGTCTGACCTACAAGCAGAAGTTTCGAAAATTTCAATCGACTCTCCGTCACCTCTTAGCTTAAAGGTTTGTCGACTTTTTTCCCTAATGTGTTCTAATCAGTACTATACGTCAGAAATTTAGAGGAGTAAGTTATATGTGTTATTTATATGCACGTATAATTCATATAGAGTTGTTTAACTTGATGTGTATGGCTTCTTCATGATAAAAACAGTATCAACCAACTAAACACTTTAAATATGAAGCAGTGATCCAGTTAGTCACAACATAGAACTTCGTACGTACGTTCATCAGTTCGAGTTGCCATACCACATTAGCGCAGAGACGCAGTTGATTCAAATCCCATAGTGGTAGAAGTAGTAACAGTATAAGCATTATGTGAAAGATTAGGGTTTGAAGATGTTATTCAGGGAGTATAATCCTGTGACATAAATTTGGAAAGAGAAAATAAAGATAGGGACATGAAGAATTCAGAAGATTAGAATTTCATAGAACACAAAGAGTGGATGCACCTTCGCCACTGCAAACGATTTTGAGCCATGTCATTCAAGGTCTCTAACCATCGATTGCTATCATCTCGCGAATCCCAACCAGGTAGTCTACACCTACCAGCATGGCTCAGTCCAATTGTCAGTGACTTCATGCCACGTTTCGGTCTGGCCGCCCCTAGCTTTCTTCCGACCTACTCCTACACCATGAAACATTGCACGTCGTGGCAGTCGGTGGTTGGGCATACGTAACATGTGTCCCAGCCATCTCAACTGATGAAGTTTCACTACTTCATCATTAGGTTTGCCATCCTTACCTAGTACCCGTTTCCTAACAACTGCATTACTTGCTCGATGGTCACAGCATATACGAGCAATACTTCGAAGACACCTATGATCGAAAACTAGTAGCCTACGAATGTCTTCTACTCTTACTAGCCATGTTTCACTGCCATAAAGCGGGACTGAACGAAATGCTGCACAGTAAACCCGTCCTTTTGTTGCTAAACGGATATGTCGCCTACGCCATAAATAACGCAAGTTGGCGAAAGCTAGACGAGCCTTCTCTATCCGTGCTGAGATTTCGTCACACACCAGACCACAAGGGCTGATGAGATTCCCAAGATAAATGAAGCAGTCAAAACGCTCAACTACACTCCCTATCATTAGTTCAGGTGCCGATGCAACCCAAGACTGCATTCTGTCAGCGTCTTCACCAAATCAAACTATGTCATCGGCGTATTTTAAGTCAACAAGTGAGTCTCCCGGTAAAAGTTCAACTCCTGGAAATTTAGATGATGAGAGTATTATCTCTAAAAGCATGTCAACGATAAAGTTAAACAAGAATGGGGAGAGTGGACAGCCCTGACGAACACCACCCGAGGTAATCAATTATGATGACAGTTCGCCATGGGCTCTAACTCGACCAGTTGTGTTCGAGTAGAGAGCCTTTATGAGGTTAATGTACTTCTTTGGTACTCCTTTCAGTGATAAACACTGCCACAGTACCTCACGATCAACGGAGTCAAATGTCGCCTAAGGTCGAGAAATGTGTGCCTATGTTCTAGGACCTGACGTATATTGAATATCTGGTCCATATAACCACGTCCAGGTCGAAAACCGGATAGGTATTCTCTGGTCTGCTCTTCACGAGCTTTGGTTAGGCGTCTCAGTATTATTGAAGTTAGTATTTCAGACACTATATTAGTCAAACTGATCCCTCTGTGATTGTCACAAGAGGACTTTTGTCCTTTCTTACAGACTGGCACAATCATTGATTGGGACCAGTCAGATGGAATTACGTCCAGTTCCCAGATTCTACCTAATACCTCAGTCAATTTCGCTGCTAGTACTGTACCACGATCCTTAAAAATCATTGTTTAATATTCTACTCCTGATAATAGTTACACCTACTTAGTGGTTCGACTAGAAAGGAAAATTTTGCGCAAACAACTAGTCATTATTTACCAGATACAGGAGGTTATCTGAGCATAGCTGCAACAGACGGTCGTCGTTATCTGTTCTTTAGACCACGACACCATAAGATCCGCCCAGGTATCTTTCCCTTTCGCTTAGTTTACCTACTTGAGCACCAGCCGCTATTACTGCATCAGAGCGCCTAGCTTTTCGGAGAAGGTCAGAAAGCTTTCTGTAGAACTCATCTTTTACATCATCTGAGCTGCAGTCAGTTGGAGAGTAGGCCTAGACGACGAAGAGCCAATGACGAGTGTCGTTACTGTTTCGTTTAGTCAGACAGCGCACAGACGACAGTCTACTGGGATCCAGTCCAAAAGAGCTAGTTTTGCCCTATAAATTAATGCTATGCCTACGCCAGCGAGGGCACGGGAAGGAGCATCAGGGCTTCCAGATACACAAAGCGTGAATCGAGTTGTTTCTTTATTTTGACGTGATGAGGTCAAATGAATGACGCTACTCGGATCGTGTATGCGCGTTTCGGAGACGCAGCACACATCGATGGTGCGAGATTCTAAAGTCCTAGCTAAGGAAGCCTGTTGTCCTATTTGGCACAATGTTCGGACGTTGAAAGTTCCTATATGTAGTTTAGAGCGTGGTTTCAGGGGACCAGGAATAACGTTCCGTGAACTCGATTCGTTTGCTTTAGCGTTGCGAGGTTATAAAATAGTGAGAAGGGTTAGTCGTGGAAATAAGAGAGTTATTAGGATGTGTAAGAAGGATTTGAATGTGACCAACTCGATCTCGTGTGTTGTTACGGGTATGAGGGCTGCCCACATCGTGGAAGGGTATTTCTTGAGGAACCTGAAAATGAAGTTGGATTAATGTTGGTCTTAACGACCTGGGAGCGTGACTGCAGAGTCCAGGGGACACCTGCTTGAGGCCGGTTGCACACGGCTATTTTGTGGGTTTTTGACGTGTTAGCTTCGCTCTTCATAGGACCTTACCGCCGGAGACCGAAATCCGTGAGGTAAAGTGTGACATTTTTAGAGTCGACCTTTCCTAACCCCTTTCTTTCTTGTGAGAAGGCAGCATCGCTGCAGATGCTGGTTGTCCGAGGGAAACACTTTACTGCTGTCACAGCCCTCTACAGTCAGCAGTACGACTTGTCCCTCAGACCTTGAGTAGCTGTTTTTAGTTTTACCGTTCTCCAATCGACCTGCCTGGCATAATAGGACCTACAGAAACATATGTTCCAACCAATATAGCTCTCTTGGGTCATCAAGATAGGCAAGCGCGACCACCACGGTTGGGAATGAAGTATTGATGGCTCATCAGAGTGTTTTTTTTACCTTATTCATGTCGTCAACCAGTGATTTCGTTTTCCTTGAGCGGATTATTGATATTTTATTCTATGTAGGAATATTAATACGGTTACTTTTCGATGCTAGCGCCGTAGGAAACTATACTTATGAGAGAATATAATAATGGTAAAACATGTTTTGTTATCGTCGTTTTTATATGAAGGTATTGATTGATTGAAACAAAATATATTTATGTATGATCATAGTGCTAATAGTTTCATATATATTTTTCTCAAACTGAATCTTCGAAACTCTATCACTTAGTTAACAATGTAGGTACAACGTGCTTGTTTATGTCATATATCCCCATATTAAAAATGTTTGCCTCGGTATTTATTTCTCCGTTCTTTCAACCATAATACTACAAAACTAAAGAATTGTAACAGTTTTATTGCTTGTTTCAAAATAATCTGGGATTACTCAAATATGCAAATTATAATTTATCTTTCTATCACTCCAAACTTTCAGATTAATCATTGGTTTGCAGTTTCGGCATGGAAGTGGTGTACTAACGATGATGACTGTGGTATTTGTCGGAACGCTTTCGAAACATGTTGTGCAGATTGTAAACTCCCAGGTGACGATTGTCCTCTTGTTTGGGGTCAATGTAACCATTGTTTTCATATGCATTGCATTATAAAATGGTTAAACAGTCAACAAATGGCTCAACATTGTCCTTTGTGCAGACAAGATTGGCGGTTCAGAGAATAAGCATCTTAATTTCTGTAATTTTCTGATTTTTGTTATTTTTTTAATATATGAATTGCAGAACAGCCTTTATCTGATTCTAAATCAATATCTAGTATTTATGACAAGTTCAGTAGCGTTTATTAGTCAACTATTTTTGTTTATACTGTAATTATCTTAGACACTGAAACATCATCCTTAAATACAGTTGTTTGTACAAAGCGTAGTTCAGTAAAATGCCTATTTTTCTAAGGTTATTCAAGGACACTAATATTACTAATAAACGTTCGTTAGTTAAGTAGTAGCAAAGTTTTCTAACCTTAATGGCATTCCGTTGGTGATACGATTTCGTCGTTCTTTTCCCGACAATTGAATTTCATATAACTATTACTATTTTTGTTAAGTAAGATGATTAGTAGCATCTGAACATTGATATCTCATTACCGGGTTTAGTCAAAGCATTACCGTATTTTCGTATTCTAATATGGTCATGAAACGTTTGTTTTTCAAACATCGTTAATCGTCTTTCAAAGTTTTGTAGCCATTATGATCGATTCTGAGCTATGTCACTCAGAGTCTCTAACCATCGGTTACGATAGTCATGCGGACTCCAATCAAGTAATTTGCATCTACCAACATGGCTCATACTAGAAGTTAGTGACTTCAAGCTCTGATGACACGTTTTGCTTTAGCCGCCCCTAACTTTCTTCCAACCATCCCCAACACATCAGAATTGTGCGTCGTGGTAATCGGTGTTCAGGTATATGTAACACGTGGCCTAACCATCTCAGTCGGTGAAGGTTTACAACCACACCAGCTGATTTGCTATCATTCCCTAATACCTTGTGTCCAACCTCACTATTACTTACAAGATGATCCCAGCAAATGCTGGCAATATTTCTAATATATCCGTGATCAAATACTAGTAGCTTATGAGTATCTTCTACTCCCAATGACCACGTTTCGCAGCCGTAAAGTAGAACAAAACGAGCTGCTGCACAGTATACTCTTCCCTTAATTGATAGACGGATATCTCGCCTTCGCCATAGGTGATGTAAGTTGGCAAAAGCTAGACGAGCTTTCTGAATCCACGTAGAGATTTCGTCGGTTGCCAAATCATTAGGGCTGATGGGACTTCCAAGATAAGTGGAGTTGTCGATGCGTTCGACTACTTCACTCCCTATCCTTAGTTCATGTGTTGATGCAGGCCAATTCCTGAAGCAACAACTTGCTTTTAGATGGGGAGAAAGGCATCGTGACATTGTTTCCCAGGGCCTCCAAATGACTCTGCATTTATCAGCGTCCTCGCTAAACAGGACTATGTCACTTGTGTATTTTAAGTAGAAGATTATTTCCAGCAGTAGGTCTGTAATGGATTTGAACAAAAGTAGGAATAGTGGACAGCCTTGTCGGACACCACTTGAGGTTGCAAAATCAGATGGCAGTTCTCCATAATCTCTGACACTGCTGAAACAGTGTATGTTAGTGTCCTGACGTGTGTCGAAAGCCGATAATAAATTCATCATGTTCATTTAAAATTTCGTGCGACCACAATATCTACCCGTCATGTGTTCTTGACTACCAATGATTCAATGAATAAGACCATTGGAGTCTGCAGCCAATCGATAGAAAATGTTGGGTCCCATATTTAATTAATGATAGGTATTCTGTTCCCAAAAATAAAATTAGTCTGAGATTCCTGTTAAAAGATGATCACTAGATACAGAAAATTGATTCTACAGTTCAAGTTGATACAATATAGTCGGTGAGTACCTATTGAAAGCGTGTTGAAAGAAAACAGATATCATCATGTGGTTTGTAATAAAATAGGAGTAGCAAAACTTACAAAGCAGTTACTAGATATATAAGTCAGATACTTATATTACTGATATGCAGTTCCAAATACGAAGTGAGACTTCATGCACAAACTATTTTAGACAAGTGACATTTTTCTCAAAGCATCTATATTTCTGAGTAATAACAATTCATTAGATTATGATTCATATAGATTGGTATAATATTTTACAAATTAAGTAGCTTAAATTTAATATCTATAATGTTCCGCCTTGAATGGTCCTTCAACTGGTACACCCAAATAATCAGCTTGTTTTTTGGTTAATTTCGTTAGTTTGACACCTAACTGTTCCAAGTGAGCGGCAGCAACAGCCTCATCCAGCTATAAGAAAAACAATCTAATTATTAATAAGAGCATATGATGAGTGTGAACAGGTTGATACTGACAGGTATGTCAGGAATAAGAATTAAGTTTAAAAAAATTAATAGTTCAAGTAGTGAAGCAGTCTACACAAACCATTCGAAACAAAAAACTTGTGTATACACAGTTTTTAGCGACTAAGTGAACTTTGCTGGTGTTAGGCAAAAGGTCGCAGGTGAAAATGGCTATGCAGTTGATGAGATCATGGGTCTTCATCAACTGAGGTGGTCAAGACATGTGCTACATATGCCTAATTTAGGAGTGCCTTGACAGGCGATAATTGCCGATACAGAAGTAGATTAGAAGAAAGCTAAGAGCGGTCAAATAAAGACCTGGTATCAACCTTTGATTGGTCTATGCTATGCACGTAGGTGCAGTTCATTTGGTTTGGATCTGCGCGATAACTGCAGTCACTGGTTGGAGACTGTGGGTGAAATGGCTCAGAATCGTTCATAGTAGCCTAGATGAATTTATTTCTCTTCTCCCACTCAATCTTAGATTCCCTCACATTCATTTTGTTCTACCAAACCATATTCATAATATCTAGTCCTTTTCACTAATATTGCGATGTTATTCTGATCTCCTTCGCTAAATCTTGTTATTTTCATCTCAACGTGCTAATGTATTAAGGCAGCTTTAGCCAGCGCACATCTATGTCAGGCTGTACATTCATGACTGGCTAGGTACCTATTATATCCCACAGTAAACACGAACTAGTATATGTTGTCTTATAACACACCCATAAAAAATCTTCAAACAAGGAATGATACATGAATTTATGATTGATTGGTCACTAGGTAGCGATCGATCAGTTGTAAATACATCTGTAATGGCCCAGATAGCTCAGCGGTAACGTCTCTGAATGTGAAGCTGTGTGACACGGGATCAAATCTGTTAGTGAACATTAATTCTCTTAAGATTATAGGTACACCGTGCTGACGAGTTCCAAATATCACGAAACCTAGATCTAGGGTTTCCTGTCGACTACCTCCAACCACCATCTAAATAGTACATCTTTATGAGACTAATTTAAAGTGCCAAAAATGTTTATTGTTTTAACCCGAAATGAGTGACGTGTCTTTCCGAAGATCATGTGGAACTTGAGCAAACATAACTTCGACTTTAGTCAACACAAGGCAACTTTAACTCTCAATTTAATTCATATGCTAAATAAAACAGACCTTACAACTAGAAAATGTAGTTTACAGTATGAGCTATGAAAACACTCCTAACACTTTTATTAATAAAATAAAAGAGATCTGACCTTTTTAGGGAGAAAATGGACGCCAACTGGATACTGATCGGGTTTTGTCCATAGCTCAATTTGTGCTAGTACCTGATTTGTGAAAGAGTTTGACATTACGAAACTAGGATGGCCATGAGCACAGCCTAGATTTACTAGGCGACCTTCTGCAAGTAGAATAATATGTCTTCCATTTTTTAATGTGTAACGATCAACTTGAGGTTTGATTGATTCTATACTGACACAATTCTCATTGAGCCACTTAACATCGACTTCAGTATCAAAGTGGCCAATATTACAGACAATCGCATCGTCCATCATTTCTGAGAAATGCTCACCAGTAATGATATCCACACAACCAGTGGCAGTAACAAATATTTTCGCTCTTTTCGCACCATCTTCCATCGTGGTTACTTCGTAACCTTCCATAACAGCCTACAAAAACCATGAGTCAGGATGAAGCTGCAATGAGTCATCGCAAAAGTGATGAATAGAGAATAATGAGTCTTTGAAATTAATTAGCGCTTGATCAACTATGCACAGAATATCAAAGGTCACAAGGCAGTCCAGAATTTAGGATTTATATAATACAGTTCTAAGAACAGCGCGAATTCTCCAGAACGAAAATTAGTCACAGATGTTAACGTCCAACTCTTTAACTACGTTTTTGGAGTTTCCTTCATTCTAAAAGATTTAAAGCGTCTCTGTACTCTGAAATTTTGTCTAGAAAACAGAACTACTAATTAGCTTGTATACAAATAAAAACGTTCCTCGGTTTCAGTGTCAATATGTGATAGTAGAGTAATAGGGCAACATTATCTCTTATGACGGGTGAAACAAGTGTCACTGTTAACAACATGAGTCACACTTTTGTGTTTTTAGCATCTACCTAGAAGTTGTAGGATTATTCGGATGAAATATTGATTAGTAATAAACAATGAATTGTAGGCTAAATTTTGACAGTACACATAGGCATAATTTAGATTAATAACTCCATACATGAAATCCTGTTATTTTTGATGTCTTTTTGGATAAAATTGTAGGAAATCCACTAAACGAGCGGCTTTAATTCTTTGCAAATGAATAGACAGTTTCATTGTTGACGACCACTAGATAATTTCATTTTTTGTGGAAATGACAAGTTATGCTTGACGCCAATATATACGACCATAAACGACAGCTTAGTGCATCGATTAAAAGAACCATATTTGAAATTTAAAATAAAACATGTAACTTTTATTAGCGTTTACCCACAAAATTACTTACTCACAGGTTTATTCCATGTAGTTAATTACCCCAGTTTTGTCTCATTCTTGAGTAATTAGCCTGATTTATGAATTTTTCTCATTTTTTATTACGAGAAACGCAACATAAAGTGGAAAAATACTGACCATAACTAAAAGCCAATTAGAAATTATTTTTGGGGAAATGACCTATGAAATACTGACTATTTTACATTTCCTTAACAATTATGACATAAATACACGTCAGCGTAGTTCCAGTATTCTGAAATGTTTACCTGTAAAGCATTGATTGGATCGGCTTCCGTAATAAGTACACGCGCACCATAAGAACGAAGAGCTTGAGAACATCCTTTACCAACATCTCCATAACCTGCAACTAATGCTACTTTTCCTGCAAGCATGATGTCAGTGGCTCTTTTTAATCCATCCACCAACGATTCACGGCAACCATAGAGATTGTCGAATTTACTCTTTTAGATGACTTCAAAATATAAGCAACATCTTACCTTAGTAACAGAGTCATTAACGTTGATGGCAGGACATTTCAGTCGACCATTGGAAAGCATCTTATAAAGATTCCGAACACCAGTTGTGGTTTCTTCTGTAATGCCTTTTATGCCTTTAAGATATTCAGGATGTTTTTCATGAACAAGAGCTGTGAGATCACCTCCATCGTCTAACACCATGTTTAAAGGTAAACCATCGGGAAATATTAAAGTCTTATATTATATTTATGGTATAGGTCATATACTTGCTCTATACACCAAGTGTACTCCTCCTCAGTTTCACCTTTCCACGCGTAAACTGGAACGCCTGTCTTTGCAATGGCTGCAGCAGCATGATCTTGTGTGCTAAAGATGTTGCAGGATGACCATTGAACCGATGCTCCCAGTTCGACTAAAGTTTCAATTAAAACTGCAGTCTGAACAGTCATATGAAGACATCCAGCAATTCTAGCTCCAGTGAGTGGCTTTTCTTTGCCATACATTTGCCTCATCATAATAAGCCCTGGCATTTCATTCTCTGCTAACTTGATTTCCTTTCTACCCCAATCTGCTAAACTGATGTCGGCTGAAAATGGGTTATATTCAAGCTATACTTCTCATAACCTACCAACTTTAAACGGGGGTTTCGGCATGTTTGAAGTATAGGTCTACGATTCGCCTGAACGACTACTTTTGGCAGATGAATATAGGACTGTCAAACCCATAGAAAAGAAAACGATAACCAGATTTAGTGTATGTAGGATGAAACGAGCATAGAATATAAGAAAGACGTAAATATGTGATACAAAAAAACCACTTGAAAGTTAAATAATGTGATGAGCAAGAACACTACTTACTTAAACCCTCATACGGTTTAAAGGAGCCACAAGAGAAAGCTCTCTAGTCATGATCTAATCAAAGCATAGTGGTAACTGACGATCTATCTGCCGAGTTGCTGACCTCACATTCTTAAACAATTCCAGTTTTGTGAGGCCATATATTATTCTTATGGAGAATTAGTATTACCTTGAACATCGAACGAAGTAAATGAGTTTGCAGATACAAATGACAAATGAACATGGTTTGAGGAAAGAGAAATGCGGGTACTAATATTAGCTCAGTGTTATAAGTCGGTCTTCCCAAAATCCCATGATGAACGCTCAAAACTTTAGCAGTTTTTTCGCTTATCGTAGAACTCGAGGTGACCTTATATTGCCATCCTATATTATTAGTGATTTGGATCTTTCTCACCCTTCAGAACAATTTATTGACGATGCAATAGCAAGAAGATTCAAAAACTGATCTAATATACTCAGGACGGGGTTGAGTTTTCCTCAGATGACTGATAGGCCTAACCATAATAATTGGTACCATCACAACCAAGGGACACTATTAAGGAAAAGCTGTATTTCTACTGGTAAATATGCTGCATTGACAAGCCCAGGTCCACCAACCTATATACTTGTTACTGAAAAATGACTGATATTGAATAAAAATTTGGAAACAGATCAAGAGTTTCTCATGTCAACAAACAGCTATTTTGGTATTAAATGCTAAACGTACAGTAAGGAGAAATCTTACAGAGTACAGCCAATAATCATTTCAAAGGCCATGTCGCATTAGAGCGTTGGATCTAACCACACGTTATAACATGACATAAAACACATCAGATGCTATTTTTCTTCTTGCGAAATGAGTCCGTAATAAGAAAAAAACGAACTTCTGGTGTACCATACAAATCTAAACGAACTAACGTGCTGATTAGCAGTGTGCGCGTGACTAATTCCAGTCAAACCTTGCGCCTTTTTCGGCCAATCAGCACGTGTAACGCATCTCTTACTAAATTCAATAACAATATTCTCTTGGGCCTTTCCTTTTCAATAACCAACGAGTCGTGACTGCACTTTAATTGTACCCACTGAATTGTACCCACAGAATAACACGCGCTATTCGAACGGGAAGTTTAGTCCTAACGTGATTTACATTTCTCAAACTTTTGCTGTGTTCTTACGCAACAAAAGTATCATTTCCAATCCAAAGAATCTATTCTGAGCTATACGTTCGGTAGATTACTTCTTTTTTGTGTTTCACTCAAATTAATAGTTAACCGTGGTTTTGCCTCAGCTCACTATCGGTTTTTTTTATAGTTTTCACGTAAAAGCTAGCTTTAGCTTATCGTTAACTGTTTTTATACATTTTTGATAGTTTTTGTTTACTGTGTGTTTTTTTTATCGGTCCTAAATTTACTGCTTATATTTTTAAGACAGTCTAAATCACTAGCCATGAAAAATTCATACAAGAGACCTGGTTGCCGTTTTGTCGTTACATCTGGCATGCAATGTGACAATTGTAAAGGTTGGTTCCATGAAGCATGTACAGATCTAACAGCAGCAGCCTATAGCAGACTCAGCAAGTCTGATCGTAGGTGGGTATGTGTTACCTGCAACACCGATACGGTAGTTATGTTGGGTACTATCATTACTTTACTGACAGGTCTGAGAGATAAGTTGTCTAAGAATTCGGTAAATGATATCATCATGACGGGTAACAAAGCTGGAACGCATAGGGCAAATAAGAAAAAGGATACTGACAGGTCGGTTATCGACGGTGCTGTTAACAGCACGAGTGATGATGTGTTGAAACTCAGCACCATCCTAACATCGACTCCCTCAGTAAACTTGGGTCCCCCGGGGAACGGTCCTTGAATGAGACAGTGGTTCCTAAAAATCCTGTAGGTGGATGGACTCACGTTAACAGGAGTAATAAAGCCCAAGCGTCCCCTCCGAAACTGAACGTCCCAAGTATCGTGCATAAATCAATTGATGCTTTGGCCGCACAGTCTACACCCAAGACTGTCCGCCCGGTCATCACTGAGCCCAGGAATCGAAAACGCGCCTCGACATCCAAACAACAAGATACCAAACCTAGACGCCCTGGAAAACCTGGGAAATCAATTGCGGTTCGTGACGACTCTGTCATAATCATGAACCTTATTGACAACCCCGACCTTCCTCTCAGTTTGCAGGACAAAAACGACAGGATGCTCTGGGGAGAATTAATCAAGAGGCTTGAACTCCCTAGAATAGAGCCTTTGACCGTCACACGGCTCACTCGGGGGAAGGACTCTAACCACCTAAACCACCCGAGGCTGCTTCGTGTTACACTTAAGAATGCCTCCGACGTAGAGGACGTCTTGCTAGCCAGTCACTTACTGAGGTCCGATGGGAACGTAAGAATACTGCCCGACATACCGTATTCTGAACGAAATCTCATCCGGAACATCCCTAAGGAATCTCGCGAGGCGTTCTTCCGTGGACGAAATATCATTGTGCAAGGTGTACCGGGAAATATGGACCCAGCTCAAGCAAACTCTGATATTCGGGAATGGAAATTCATCAAGCATTCCTTAAAACTCAAGAACATATTGACCCAACAGGTAATGAGACTGGCCAAGAGAGACAGAGACTCTAGGCCCCGGCTGCTGAAGATAACCTTTCCCTCCTCCCACATGGCGGCTGCGACTCTGGAAGCATTTCGTGCCAATAGACGTCGGTTGCCAACTGGCATCCATATGCATCCGGATAAGCCCCACGACAGCAGGATCAAGCTCGAACGAAAGCTGGAGCTGACAATTCCACTCGTGGACTGTCTTGATCATAAAAAAACGTGTAAAGGACAGGGACTACCAACTCGGTAAACATCGTATAGGTAGGCTACCTGTCCACTCACACACGGCTCATATAGACAAACAAGAAGAGGCTCACGCGTTCCAAATTGAAAGCATAAACTGCCTATACACGAACGCCGCGAGCTTGCCAAACAAAATGGATGAGCTACGTGAACTTAACAACGCTAATGATGCCCATCTGATAGGAATATCCGAAACTTGGATAACGTCTCAGTTTACGGACCAAGAGTTAGCAATAACTGGGATATCTTTATTTCGCAACGACAGAAAAACAGGAATGGGGGGTGGGGTAGCACTATACGTACGGTCATGCCTGGATGCGCACCAACTTCACAATCAAGAGTTTCACAATCTTGAAGAGTCAGTATGGTGCTCAGTAAGATTGTCTACCACCTCGAGGTGCCTAGTTGGGGTCGTTTACAGGAAGCCCACTGCCGACATCGAATATGACAAACGTCTGCTGGAAGGATTAACTCGCTCTACGCGTCTTGGATTCTCTCATATCCTGATTCTAGGGAGATTGAAATCCCCTAGAATCAACTTCGTGGAACATACATACATTGGTGGTGCCAACTCTACTGAAGCTCTGTTCTTCAACCTTATCGGCGACCTGGGATTATTTGAAAATGTGAAGTCGGCAACCCGTTGGAGAAACAGTCAGACGCCGTCACGCTTAGACTGGGTATTCACAAACGAAGAATTCCTAGTTGACGACCTCTCAATCCTGGCTCCCCTGGGCAAAAGTGATCACGCCGTCTTATCATTCAGCTTTGTCAGCAAGACGGAGCTACGATATCCTACTAGCAACAAGCGCTGGAACTTCAAACGGTTGAATGTGTTAGCTTTACAGGACTATCTTCAACAGGTGGATTGGAATGTTCGCCCTGAAATTGAAGTGGATGCTCATTGGGATTTTTTACTGCACACGATCTTATGTGCTACTGAGCATTCAGTTCCTAAAATGGTCCCAAAAAGCTACAAGCAACCTGCAATCATCAAGAACCGCACTCGTCGTTTGCTAAGCCGCAAAAGGCACTGTAGGGCTGAATATAAACGAACGGATAACAACGGCGCGTACAGGCAATACAAACATATAAGGAACACATGCACAAAGACAATAAGAGAAGACAGGCTTCAGTTCCAAACCAAGCTTATCGATAGATTCGTCTCCAATCCGAAAAGCTTGTTCAGTTATGCAGCTTCTCTTCGACAAGGCAAAACTGGAGTTTCCCAACTGCTAGGTCCTAATGGCCCGACCAACAACGACAGTGATGCCGCTAACCTTTTGGCTGAAAATTACTCCCGGACATTCCAACTGACCACATCAACCATACTGACGAAAGCTTCACCTGCACCTGTACAGGACTTTCCGAAGTGGACCTGAGTGCTGACTTGGTGCTCCGTAAACTGCAGAACCTAAAAAAAGACACTTCTCCTGGTCCGGACATGGTTCATTCCGCCGTATTGAGGGAAGCAGCTTCAATCCTGGCGACACCACTTAGCGTGATGTTTGCACACTCGCTAAGCGGAGGCAAACTACCGGAAATATGGAAGCTGGCACACATCACACACCAATTTTCAAAGGAGGTCGACGCAGTGAACCCTCAAGCTACCGACCAGTGGCCCTTCTCTCCATACCTTCAAAAATTATGGAATCCCTAGTATTCGACGGCATACTAGAACACTTATCATCCTCAAAGTTCTTCTCGCCTCAACAGCATGGTTTCAGAAAAGGTCATTCTTGTACGACCAACCTGCTGACTGCGGTGGATAAATGGACAACCATCCTTGATCGCAAGGGGAAGGTTGACGTCATTTACCTGGACTTCTCAAAAGCTTTTGATAGGGTCAACCATGCATGTCTTATCAAGAAGCTTGGACGATTGGGTATAAAACCCCCTTTAATTGACTGGATCACTTCATACCTAGAAAACCGACATTTTAAGGTCAGGGTTAACTTCACTCTCTCTCAGGCTATGGAATGTCCTAGTGGGGTCCCCCAGGGTTCAATACTAGGACCTCTTCTCTTCTTGATTTATATTAACGATCTTCCTCAACAAGTTTCATCTGATTTATTGCTTTTTGCTGATGATGTGAAACTTTGGAGAGAGATACGTACTCACAATGATATACTAGTTCTGCAGGAGGATCTGACTCGACTTCAAATTTGGGCAGACGACAACGGACTTACCTTCAACACTTCAAAGTGCAAGGTAGTCCATCTGAGACATGTTGCAGACTATAGTTATAACTTAGGTAACTCACCTCTAGAAGTTTCCCAAGTTGAAAAAGATTTAGGAGTGTTGGTACCCTACGACCTGAAATCGTATGCGAACTGTGACAAAAACGCCTCTCAAGCAAACCTTGCACTGGTAACATTGAAGCGCATTTTTGGCCAGTTTGACGGTAGAACCTTCCACATAATCTTCAACAGTTTTATTCGTCCCCACTTAGAGTACGGAAACATAGTATTTCCTCCCTCCCTCCAAAAGGATAAGGTCACTCTGGGACGTATACAACGTCGAGCCAGGAAATCAGTTCGGGGTCTCAAATTCAAACCTTATGAAGAGCGCCTCAAATCACTTAACCTTTACCCGTTAGAGTATAGGCGTCTTAGAGGTGATCTTCTTATGACTTATAGTATCCTTAATACTTCTGGTCATCCCCTTAAACAACTTCTTAAGCTTAGTCATAACACTAACCTGAGAGGTAACACCCAGAAATTGGAGACCCCACATAGCAGAACAGACTGCAGACACAACTTCTACTCCATTAGAGTTGTCAAGTGCTGGAATTCGCTGCCGACTGGGCTAATCCAAGCGACCTCCCAGGAGTCCTTTAAGAGAAAACTTGACTTATTCTTAAGGACTAAGGATAACATATTATTATGATTTACCAAATTCTTTTTTTCCCTCTATTATCATTCAGATACCTAGGTTCTTGCCTGGAGGTATTGGTGATCCACTGCTACCAGATACGGAAGCCCGTTAAGCGAAAGCTTCTTCTATTCCGTCCTCAACCATTTGAACCATTTGAATCGCTATTCCCCTTAATTTTCACCTGACCTTAGTGCAGTGTATATAAATTTTTTTTATGTTGTTAGACATTGTTAAATGGTAT